TTTGTTCAAATTTAGAAAAGTAAACCGACTGAGCCAACTGACTCAGTGTGTCAGGCTAGCATGCTTCAAAGATAATTATCTTATTTTCAGTATAAAATATTGTATGAATACAATTAGTGCATTTGTGTCAGCAAGTAAGAGGGAAATAAAATGCTAGTTACTCAATTAAAATGTTTGACTTCATGAACACCAAATGGACAGATATAGTAGGACAGACAGCCAACAGGTGTTGGCTATAGATAACGCTATATAACGAACAGCCATAACATTAAAACCACCTGCCAAATATTGTGTAGGTCCTCCTTGTGCTGCCAGAACAGCTCTGACTCGTCGAGGCATGGACTCTACAAGGCCTCTGAATGTGTGCCCTGGTATCTGGCACCAAGACATTAGCAGCAGATCCTTTAAGTCCTGTAAGTTGTGAGGTGGAGCCTCCATGGATCAGACTTGTTTGTCCAGCACATCCTACAGATGCTCGATTGGATAGAGATATGGGGAATTAGGAGGCCAAGTCAAAACCTTGAACTGCTTGTCATGTTCCTCAAACCATTTTTTGTTGTGTAGCAGGGCACATTATCCTGCTGAAAGAGGGCACTGCCATTAGTGATTACCGTTGGCAAGAACAGGTGTTCTTGGTCTGAAATGATGTTTAGGTAGGGGGTACGTGTTAAAGTAAAATCCACTTGAATGCTAGGACCCAAGGTTTCCCAGCAGAACATTGCCCAGAGCATCACACCACCCCACAAGACCTGCCGTTTTGGAGACGCTCTGATCCAGTCGTCTGGCCATCACAATTTGGCCCTTATCAAATTCATTCAGATTCTTACACTTGCCCATTTTTCCTGCTTCCAACACATCAACATTGAGAACTGTCTGTTCACTTGCTGCGTAATATATGCCACCCCATGATAGATGCCATTGTAACAGGATAATCAGTGTTATTCACTTCACCTATCAGTGGTATTAATGTTATGGCTGATTATGTGTGTGTGTGTGTGTATGTGTGCGTGTGGGTGATGAGTGTGAGAGAGCGTTCTCACTGTAGTAATTAGCGGATGGGTGTATTGAGATCTGGCTGATGGTTCTATCCTCTGGCACCCTGCCACAGCACGACATTCGTTAAGACAATTAGCACCAGGCACAGGGGGAAAAGGTCAGTCACACTGTGTTCTTGCTGACACACACACACACACACACACACAAAGCTCACACTCATTTCCTTCCTTCTCACTCTTCCTCCAGCCAGCCTCTCTCTCTCTCGCTTTCTCTCTTTCTCTGTCTGTCAGGCAGGTGCGTGCAATGATGAGGAAATGATTTCATTAAATGAGGTGTGTACGTGTGTGTAAGTACTGAATAAAGACAGAGTAAAACAAAGCCTGCAAACAGCCATCATTTCTCATAGATTTTTTTCTGGGTGACGTCCCCAAGTTGAGACCAAACCTGATTTCATTTGCTGTTTAATCGGAACACGAGAAAGGTTCTGTCTTCTGAGCAATGCAAGGCCCGTAGGCATTTTTATTTTTTTTTTTACCTTCCGAACAGGGGATGCAAGAGGCGGAGCAAAAGGGAGACGACATAGCCAGGGGGTGTAAATATAAAATCATTAGAGGCATCGGCAGCATGTGACATCAGAGACAACCTCATCAAGTTATCAATCAGAAAATATCAGTTTACTGGAATAAAATGACCAAAATATGCACTAATTACTAACACTAACTAAGAAAATCAACGATAAGAACTTAATAGCTCATATTTTCAGTTGCTCGTGTGTCCTGAATGCCCAGGACTCCCCCCTTGTATCAGTAGATAATCTCAGCTGCGTACTGTAGACTTGTACCTACGAACTGCTGCTGTAATCATAATATGCTCATAACGATCATCCTTTTATCACACTTGGTACTTACTGACTTTATTGAATACAGCTCTGATTTAAAATCTCACTATCCAATGTCAGTGTCATAGAGTTCCCTTTTGAGTCTGGTTCCTCCCAAGCTTTCTTCCTCATGTCATCTCAGGGAGTTTTTTCCTTGACACTGTTGCATCTGGTTTGCTCATTAGGGATCTAAATATAAATCTACATCCAGATTTCTGTAAAGCTACAAATACAATTCAGTTCAAATTGAATCATGTAACAGTCAGTTAAATATAACGGCACAACACAAAGAGGAAATTTTAAATGGTGAAATGTCAGCCTGCAAATGAGGCGAGCGGGTTATTTGACTGTGTATAAGAAGCTGTCATAAGCTTTATATGGCTTTTATATGGAGTGGTTAAGTATTGCCATCTGTTCTTCTGCTGCATGTGCTTGGAAGTCTCAACTCCGAACTTGATAAAGGGTACAGGAATTAAACATTTTAGGCAGTGCTTGTGTATGTAGAATGAAATGTATTGGATGCATATTTATTCTGTGGAATGAACTGGAAATATTTATTTTAGTTGTCAGTAGGCTTGTGCAATATAACAGTATTATCATCCCAACACATTGTTATGTTGCCACAATATCCAGTTTAACACCAATTATATGATAATACCGGACCTGCCCACCATTATGCTTTTTGCATAGGCGCTCTGCAAAAACACGCTTATGCAAATAATCACTCAAAAATGCACCAAAAGAGCAGGTTTTTTTTTTTTCTCCCCAATACAATGAGAGTTGAACCAACCGACCTGTGAATCTGAAATGATTTGCGCAGGTTTTATGAACTCTCCAAAATTAACAGATACTTCCCGGAAGCCCCGCCCCTTTCCTCCAATCTCATGTGCTCTCGTCTCAGGTGGAGATGCCCGCCGCAGGCTCCCTCGTTTTCTGTCAAAGTAAAAGGAGAATATTTTAAGCCCATTAATGTGAAATAAAAACATATCAGTGTGGGTTTGACTTAGTTAACATTAGACAAGTATACAGTATGTTTAACGTCAATTTGCCGTATTTATTAGGGATGTTAGTGAAAAATTTGAGTCGAGAATGGTCAAATCAGCTTGATAGAGAAAACAGACGAAGGAAGAACACTTTTGTTTTTAGCTTGTTTGTTTTTTTGACTGCAGCTCTCCTGCTTTCTCCTGCTCAACGCTGAGAGCGGCATCCACGATGAAAATGTCGGCCAAGTGAACATCAGACAACCAATTTCTAAAAGGATTACACTGAAATGTGATGTTATGTTTTATTGTTTACTGCATGTCACTGAAGAAACACCGAAAAATCCATCATCCGGCTGAGTTTTTTGCGATTGCCACAGTTCCCACCTGTACAGCTGGCAACATTATTACGCCTCTCATACGCTCCTTAAAACTGAAATAGTGCAAATGCTTGTTTACCGGTCTTTTTAGGCTAATGGTCATTATTGTGATATTTTAAAATGGGAAAACACGATCAGGAAAAAATCAATATCGCACAAGCCTGATTGTCGCACAGTGCAATTTCTAACATTAGGGGAGCAAATGCCCTAAAATCACCTATTGCAGAGCCCACATTAAATCTACTGAGTAATTACTATACAGCTGCATTTATCATTCTTTCTTCCTCACTGTGACATTTCAACGCCATTGTGCCTGAGTGCCTCGAATATAGTCAAATGTATCCAGTATGAAATTACAGTAAACCAATTTCTAGACATTTTTACTCATTTCAAGCTTCACATAGTCTTGTTCTTTTGGCGGACCATTTTTCTCATCTTAAGCATTCATTTCTAGAAATAAAATTTACAGATCGAAATGCACAAAATCAGATAAGAACTGGCTGAATAGTGTATTTAATTTATAACAATCTCATAATAAGGAGTATTAGAAGAATTTGCCCGTATTCAAGATTGTTTGACTTTGTAAGGCGTTTTTTTCGTAGCGTTCCTCAAAGCGTATAAGATTACAGAAAGAAATAATCAAACTTCTTTCACCCAGGAACACACCAAGCCTGGTATCTCTTCTAAAGCTTCTAAACGTCAGACTCTGACATAAGGAATCTCAGTGTTTGCCGTGTTAAAAAGAATTCTTTTACTGTGCACTATGTTACAACAAGGATTAGTAAAGTGACAAACACACACAACACACACACACACTCGCCCACACACACATACAGGGTGCTATAATCGCTCGGTTGCTTCTGTAAAGCAGTTGGCTGAATTGAACGTGTGTGTGTTTGTGTGTGTTCCAGGTAAAGGCTCACACATAAAGCCCTTCTGCCAGTCATGTATAAGCTGTCTCCTCTGCCCTCTGTGATTCTTTCTTTTTTTCCCCTCTTCCTTTCAGTCTCTCAACACTGCCCATGTCTGTAACTTCTCTTCCCCCTTTGTGCACTCTCTCTCATCTTTCTGCACAGTTTCCTATTTCTTCACGGACACACACCATCTTTTTTTTGTATCAGCTTCTTTTTTTTTTTTCCCTTCTCACTCTTGTCCTCCTTTGCTCTTCCCTCCTACCGGTCTGAGACTTTCTCATATGTGTCTCCTCTTCTGATATATTCTTTAGCATCTGCTTCTTTTTAAAATCTTGTAACTCTTGCTAGCTTATTGTCGCAGACTCAAAGCAGTTCTCTACAGGTAACAGTTAGGGGAAGAAGATTGTACTTCCAGCTTCACTGCTCTTTAGATTGATTCACTGCTCAAATTCCTTCCTCCTTAAATTATTCTTTCACGCTCGCTACACATTCACGCTCCCATCTTTCTGTGAAGTTCACCTTACATTATGACATTTATGTCGAAAATATATGCTTAATACACTTGTCTCAAGCCATTCAGGGGAATACTTCCACCTTGGATGACTTCCATCCATCTATCCATCCATCCATCCATCCTCTGTACCGCTTATCCTACGCAGGGCCGACTGGAGCCTGTCCCAGGGGAGGCTGGGCACAAGGCGGGGGACACCCTGGACGGGGTGCCAGCCCATCGCAGAGCACAATTGCACACACATTCACACACTACAGACGATTTGGAAATGCCAATCAGCCTACAGTGCATGTCTTTGGACTGGGGGAGGAAACCAGGGTACCTGGAGGAAACCCCCGAAGTATACGCAGGAGGGATTTGAACCCCCAAACCCACAATATGGCCTTTAGGTGCAAGGCCACAGTGCTAACCACTAAGCCACCATGCCTCCCCGAATGACTCGTATAATATTTTCTATAATAAACATGCGATCTTCAATGGCATCCGAGATTTATTTTGTACTGAAATTCTGAGTTGACTTTCTTTTCATTTAAACGTCTTCCATTGACATGTTGGGCTATCTTAACTTTGGTTAATCCGGCATTACCCATAATGCCATTCGACTACCTGCTGATAGTGATGTCAGTAAGATTCATCTCTGGCTTCATCTCTGCCTAAAGAGAGTGATGCGGCAGGGCTTGAATCCTTTAGTCTCTCCTCATCCTTCTGCTAAAACAGATATGGTTCCAAAACTTCAACTTTGATGCAAATACCAGCATCAGCACCGCTGTGCTTGTCATACTGCAGCTTGCTAAATAGCCGAGCCGAGTCTCTGCCATGACTGTGGTATAGTTGAATTGCATTCTGAAACTTTGAGTCCAGGGTTTGTTGTGTCCACTATTTCTGTGTTGGATTTCTCGGGGAGAAAATGATGAGAAGCTCTTGGTCTTTTGTTTTTAGAAGCTAACAGCGAAACCCTTATCCCTTATCCCTTGCTTATGATTGAGATTATTGAGTTTGAATTATTTAAAGAGTGGAATCTTCCTTTGTGGGAGGGGCTCTTTAATGGCTTTATTCGTTTGTTATTATTTGTGTGTTATTATTTATTTGAGTTTTAACACAGCTAGCCTCAGCTAACATTTGCCAAAATAGAGTTCTATTTTGAAGAGTACTTCCTTCAGAAGTAGCTCTGGGGGTTACTACTGATCAGAATCCATTTTTGTAGTATACGCATCTAAAATCTCTCTGTCTTTGTCTCTGTCTCTCTCTCTCTGTCTCTACAGAAGACTATAAGTCAGAGTTGAGGGAGCAGTTGCCACTCATTGCTGGCTCGGCGGCGGCTGGTGTGGTCTTCATCGTGTCTCTGGTGGCCATTTCTATAGTCTGCAGCAGGTAAGATCAACTCCATCGACATCACCAAGCAATGACTAATACGAAATGTTAATAAGAAACAAATACTAATGTATGAAACCAGTGCTATGTCATAATAGTCTAGTAGTCATTTATATAGCTATATTAGCGTACTGCATTAAAGTAGCAGTTCATTCTTAGATGCCTCTGCTGTTTGTGAAGTGACTTGCAGTGAAAACACTTTCACTACTTTCATCTCCTCTGTTGAAACACTGGCTATGTTTCTATACAAAGATTCTTGCCAGAGTTTATTCCGATCAGTTTATATATATACATATATATATACTTAATTGGTTGCCCTGTAGATGTCACTTATATGCACATTACATGTAATCCAATCCAAAGTTATGCACATGTGTGGAGTGGGGTTTAATGCCAATGTTACCAACAAGAAGGATGTAAGCTTGAGCGTGAGTACAGCAGAGTTTGTGAATGCAGCAAAGTTGCTCAATATTTCATATTTGGCCGACATTTAGGAACAAGAAATCACTTGTTGTTGAAAATAAACATAAGATGCACACATTATCCATTGGTATAATACCATTACTCATTTTCTAATGTTGCCAACATTAAAAGTTAAGAAATAATGGTTTTATACAGTGCAGCGAATATAGGCATTCAACTAATGTATATCTTTATTACATATTTTTAAACAATTACAAGATTATTCAGCCTATTTCTATCGGCAGATAATCTTTCTTGTTTCAAGTGTTGTTTTTTTCTAAAGAGCCAAATGTTCTGCCACTAGAATAAGACCATTTTAAACTTTTAAACTGTTTAGAAATAGGCTTACTGCATTACTTATTTTATTTGTTATATAAATGCTTTATAATGAAATATTAGATAACTTTCCCTTTATTCAAGATATCTTCACTTGCTAAGATATAAATTTCATTTTATTATTTTTTATTATTATTATTATTATTATTATTATTATTATTATTATTATTAAACATTATTTATTAAATGTTGAGATTTACTGAGGTAAAGTTGTGTCTTGTATCTGCCTCAAAATATTAGTTTGCCAATCCATGCTTTCAATTATTTTAAATATATTAAAATCTGCAACATGATCTGTGTTTGCTTTTAGGACTGATTTATTGTGCCAGGAGCACATCTTGACCAAAGACACATACACAGAGCACACACAGATTCAGATACTGAAAGTAATCAGACGCAGACGACATTTACATGACTATCGCTCCTGTACTTAATTGATGATTAAAAGGATTATCCATCTCATCCAATGGGATAAGAATTTCTTTGGGATTACACTCAATCACTTTACACTATTTCCCCTGAGGTGTATACTTGAACATTTTTTTAAATGTTTTTTTTTTTTTTTTTTTTTACAGTTGAGCTCTCACTCTGGTTATTAACAGATTGCTAGACTGCATGTAAACACAGCCTGTGCATTTTGATTTTGATTTTTTTTTTTTATTCTCTTTAGGGAGAATTCATTTTCAAGCCCGCTTGCGCTGTTCTCAAACACAAGGTTTGATTTACAAATTTGGGAAAACACATCACAAAGAATACTGATCAAACGATCCACAGCCTGCAGACACGCATTGTGCATGGAAACGCAAGGCCAGGCGTAATCAAGCTTATGGGCAACCAGCAGACAAATTCAGCAAATGAGCAAAAAAAAAAAGAGTAAACCAATCAAAAAAAAAAAAAAAAGAGATGCAAAAATAAATATCAAACATACGAAAGGATGAAAATGAAAGAAAGAAAGAAAGTAAAATGCACACAGCGTATTCTTAACCAGAAGCCAATATCTGAACCAAAATATTCCTTCAAGAATAAGATGGTGCAGTCTACTGAAAGTGTGCTTTAGTGCAAGCAGGTGAAACAGCGCCTTTGAAATGATATACGTTACTGGATAAAAGTCTGAGTAGCTGCACTTGCTTTTTATCTTAGTTGTCAATCAATATTTTACTCTCACTCCCTCTCTCTCTCTCTCTCACACAGGAAACGAGCTTACAGTAAGGAGGCAGTGTACAGTGACAAGCTTCAGCACTACAGTACAGGCAGGGGTGAGGATTATTACATTTCTCCATCACTGCACCCAAAAGACACCCTTCATTCCTCAGTCCCTTTCTCTCCACTTCCACATGGCTGTGATGGACAGGTTTCAGTTATAATCACCATCTCAGGAGCCAGGCACTGACAGCCGCAAAGCTTTCTCTGAGGGGAATGAAGGAAAAAAAGGAAAGACCAAGTGCAGGATGAGGGCCAGGACGTATGTAGAAGTATGTAGCAGAAGAGTGGAGCGAGGGATTATTTAAGGGCCATATAAGAGCCATGTGCTTTGTACGAAAGTGAAACGGAAAATCTTTTCTGCTTCAGGAAGTTCTCTCATGCACAAATTTTGGCTTCAAACAACACACCATTAACGTAGTACAGTAAATATAGAGAAGAAGAAATAAATACAGAGAAGACTTTGTACATTACTTTTTACCCACTTCGCCAAGGCTCAATGGAACCGTAAAACCCACTGTAGTAAATCAGAAAAGCCAGGAAGTTGGGGTATGCAATTGCTTTTGTGTGTGTGAACTCCATTTTGCTGCTGTTGTATGTGCCCACTAGGATTTAAAAAATAATTGTGGTAATGTACACTAAAGTTTATGGACACCTGACTATCACACCTATATGTAGGTTTTTTCCCAAACTGCTGCCACAAGGTTGGAAGCACACAATTTCCCTTCACTGGAACTAAAGGGCTCAAACCTGTTCCAGCATGACAATGCCCCTGTGCACAAACCAAGCTCCAGGAAGACATGGTTAGTCAAGAAAGAACTTGAGTGGCCTGCACAGAGCCCTGATCTCAACCCCACTGAACACCTTTTGGATAAGTTGGAAACCTGGCCTCCTCACCTGACATCACTGCCTGACCTCACTAATGCTCTTGTGGCTGAATGGACAAATCCCCACAGCCACGCTCCAAAATCTAGTGGAAAGAGTGACGAGTGGAGGTTATTATAACAGCAAAGGGAGACTAAATCCAGAATGGGATGTTCAATAAGCACATATGGGTGTCCACAAAGTTTTGGCCATATAGTGTACATTTTATATGGAAACCCTGAACCACAATTTTGCGAAAAAATGTGGAAGTGCTATGTCATTACTTCCACCTAATATCACATTATTATGACTTAATAACTCTTTATTGCAAGATGGCGTGTCAAATTCTAATGGTCAACATGACCATTGTGTAATTCAGGCAATTTAATTGTTAGGAGTCAAAACCTTAACCAGATCTGAATGCATCTTTGCATCATCATGCACTTTTCTTCATAAATGATACTTACATTACATACATATATAATCACTACAGCTACTACTGATTTTTTTTTTTCATTTGCTGTAGTTTAGTTGAAGATTACCACATCTTTATTGTGACTAGACATTGTTGTAATCACACTCTCCTCTGTCCCTGTGGACCTGCAGTAACCCAGGTCTCTGAGTACAGTTAGCGTGCCCAGAAATCCAGGCCACACATGTACACATGTGTGATTGAAAGAGCTCAGGACGAATTTACCGCACGGTTGTGTAAATATCATCCCTGTCTTGTGACTCCCTGTGGGTTGCTAAGGTCCGTGGTAGAATATGTCCCTGTTTTGACAGCTGAGGCAACATCTTGCTTGTGAGCTGTGTAGTCAAACTACCTATTCAGTGTGTTGTGCACTTTCATGGCCTCACAATAACACTGTGGTGATCTTTCTGTCCCTTTGGCTATTTCTGGTACTGATACGCCCACAGACAGTGAGACAGAGAGAGACAGGGCTGGAAAAAGCATCAGAGGGCAAAGCTTGACCTGACTGATACCATCCCAGATGGACACCACACTCACACACACACACACACAGTGGATCATCATCCATGTAAATGGATGATGATGTGTATGAGCACTTGCTTTAGTACTCCAGATGTTGCAGGTTGACAGGTCTTCACAGACAGTGCATTTTGGGCAGTACAACAGATTGTGAGGTGCAGCACCATCAGTCCTGCTAGTTATACACACTTCATCTGATTCAC